GTTGTAGGGCTGAGGGTCCACCATCTCACTTTCCGTAGCTTGGATCTTGTTTGGAAGGTTAACCATGCACTCAGGCAAACAGAAATGAATGATGGCCATGAGTTAGTACAAAACATCTTAACTTTGCCATGAGACACGTTCAGGTTGAGTCATCTGAAATTATTGCTTTGGACGTTAGTCTCTCAGAGGAAATACTTGACTCAAAAGTTGAAATTTGTATGATTTAAAGCATGAATGCTTTGGTAATGTGTTTCAAATAATTATGTGAAGTAAAATAATTTGTTTTCAGAATTGGTGCTGTGCATGTGTCTGAATATGAAGCAACTATGGATATAAGATAAAAATCACCACAACAGATTTTTTTTTTTTTTTTTTTTGCCAATGAGAACCTACTGGTTGTTGTTGTTGTTGTTGTTATGTGCTGTAGAGTCAGTCCAGACTCATAGCAACCTTGTATAGGATTTCCGAGGCTGTAAATCTTTATGGAAGCCGAAGGCCTCATCTTTCACCTGAAGAACAGCTGGTAGTTTTGAACTGTTGACCTTGAGGTTAGCAGCCCAACTTGTAAATTATGCTGCCAGAGCTCCTTTGAGAACCTACTATGCATTCATTAGGAATTATTCTAAAGCTAGAGGATACTAGGATACAACAGGGGAAAATGAAAAAGATCACTACTTTCCTAGAGCTTACCTTCTAGCTTACACAGTAAGTAAATCACACAGAATGCAAACATGCTTAGTGCTAGGTAGAACAGTAAATACAGGGGAATGCTGTGTGTTTGTGTATGTACATGTGCATGTGTGGGTGTGGTAAGGGGTCAATGAAGAAGGTATTGCCTCACAGTAATGTTGTTATTAGTCAATTTCAATGAATGACAGCTTCCTGTATTACAGAGTCCACCTGTACTCTATAGGGTTTTCTTGGTTGTAATATCAATGGGACCAGTTTGTCAGGCCTTTTCTTGATCTGTACCACTGTGTAGGTTCAAACTGCCAACTTTCATGTTAGCATTTAATCAGAAATCATCTGTGCTACCTAAAAAACATTGTCACTGATTTCATTCTGACTCATATCTACCTATTGGACAGAGTAGAACTGCCCCACAGGATTTCCAAGGTTACACATCTATTTGGGGAGGCCTGGTGTGGTGCTGGAGGATAAGCACTGGATCACAAAGTCAGTTTGAACCACAAGATCAGCAATTCAAACTCACCAGCTGCTTCTCAGAAGCCCTATACAGGGTTGCTATGAGTCGGAGACGACTCTTCAGCACTTAATAACAACAACAACAACAAATCTATAAAAGCAGACTGCCACTCAGTAACCCTGTATAGGGTTTCCAAAGAAAAGCTGATGGGTTTGAACAGCCAAACATATGGTTGGCAATCCACTGCTTATCCAACAGCACCATACCAGGACTCAAACCACAAGGTGTTGTTGTTGTTAAGGTAGGTGGTTCAAACTCACCAGCCGTACCACAGGAGAAAAATGAGGCCTCTTGGTAGAGATGTATAGTCTTGAAAACCTGAAGGAGTAGTTTTACTCTGCCTTCTGGGATTGAAAAGCGTCAGAATCGACTATGGTAGGAGGATAGAAGGGGAGCATTAAAGTGACATTAGAGCTTGGGTTTAAATGAGGTGAGGGAGTGAGCCATGCAGCTATCTGGGTGCCCGGCTTATTCAACAAATAGCAAGGAGGTCAGTGTGACTAGAATCAAGTGAGAGGGAGCAAGAAGGTCAGAGGAAATGAGGTGAAAACAAAAAGATGAAAACCCAGGTATCCAAGGGCCTTAATTAGAGAATGAATAGGCACTGCACAAATCTGATCTATGTATGTTATATGCAGAAGGTGAGGCCTTGTAGGATGTTATAAGCATCTTTTTTTTTTTTTTTCCTTCTTAATAAAATTGGTGGTGCAGGTGAGTAATATGAGTAATGGACTTCTGGTGTGCCGCTGTAGGATCAGCACTGGATGTTGAAAAAGGTAGGTGGTTCAAACCCATCAACTGTTCCTTAGAAAGCCTGTACAGGGTTGCTATGGGTCAGAGTCGACTCAACAGCACTTGTAATAACAATATGAGTAGTATGGCACTGTGGGTTAATGCTCTGGACTGCAATGTCAGTTTGACCCACAAGGTTGGGGATTTAAGCTCACCAGTCACTTTTATGGAAACAGGGTCACTATGAGTCAGAACTGACTCAAAGGCACTTAATGGCAACAACAACAACCACAGTATGACTTAGGAGTCCTGCTGTGGTACTGTGGGTTTAATGTGCTGGACTGCAAGGTCGATTTGAACCACAAGGGTAGCAGTTCAAGCTCAGCAAACTCTGCTTGGAAACCCTATACAGGGCCACTGTGAGTCAGAACTGACTTGATGGCACTTAACAACAGCAACAGAATGACTTAAGGACTCCTGGTGTGGCGCTGCAGGATAAAGCACTGGTCCGTAACGTTGGTTTGAACTCAAGATCGGTGGTTCAAACTCACCAGTCATTCCTTGGAAATTGTTTACAGGATCACTATGATTCGGGACCAACTCAATGGCACTTAGCAACAACAACAACAACAACAACAACAACATGACTTAAAGGAGCTCTGGTAGAGCAATGTTAAACTGAAAGGTGGGTGGTTCAAATCCACCCAGCAGTTCTGAAGGAAACAGATCTAGTGATCTGTTCCCATAAAGGTTACAGCTAAGAAAATCCTATGGGGCAGTTCTACTGTGTAACATCGGGTTGCTGTGAATTGTAGTACATGGCACCTAACAACAACATTACTTAAGTTTAAAAGAAGCATTTTACCCTTCAACAGTAGATTGAAGAGGAAAGGGAAAACAGTTAGGAGGGTATTGTAATCTATGTGAGAGGTGATGAATCCTATTTCATTAATACACCACATTTTATCTGTTCACCTTTTGATAGGCATTTGCGTTGTGTCCATTTTGGAGGGGGAAGAGGCTATGGTGTTATATTAAAGCTGCTATAACTTTCTATGTACAAGCCTTTGTGTGGACATTTGTTTTCAGATCTTTTAGATAAATACCTAGGAGTTGAATACCTGGGTCATGAGATAGGTTTATGTTCCACCTTCTATGCTACCACAGTTTTCTAAAGTAGCTGCACTGTTTTGCGTACATTTCCATCCATCTGCAATGTATGAGTGAGTTGTAGTTGCTGGCAGCACTTTGTCTTTTTGATGTTGTTGTTAAATGCTGCTGAGTGGGTTTCAACTAATAGTGACCATGTATAGGGTTTTCTAGGAGTGGCTGGTGAGTTTGAACTGCTGACCTTGTGGTTCAAATTGGCCTTTTGGTCCAATGCGTATCCTACAGCGCCACACCAAGACTTCATTCTAAAATGTGTATGAGAGTGAGAGAAGTGCTGTGGAATCGGTTCCAATTCACAGCAACCCCGTGTAGTGTTTCCGAGGAGTGGCTGGTGAGGTTGAACCACCAACCTTGCAGCTCAAACTGACCTTGTGGTCCAGTACTTATCCTACATCTAATTATTTTATTTTCATTTTCCTAATGTCTAATGTTGCTGAGGGATGTCTGAGTTTAATATCTTTATCCAGAAAGTATATTTAATCAGTTTTTAGAACTTTGCATCCTTTCAGCTGAGGTTCATAATACCAGCTGAATCCCCAAATCAATCTGACTCATAGCTGCCCTATAGGACAGAATAGAAGTTTTGAAACTGTAAATCTTTTATGAAAGCAGACAGCCTCATCGTTCCCCATATGGGACGCTAGCTGATGGATCTGAACCGCTAACCTTGTGGTTAGCAGCTTAACTTGTAACCCAGAAAGTTCATAATAGCTTTTAAAAATAATTTTTTAAAAGCACATATTACAGTTTATTAAAGAGTGCCATCAATTTCATTATTTGTTTTTGGGAAAACTAATATGTTTAAAATAATAAAGTATAATATTGCTGTCATTGAACATCAGCTTTTCCTTTAAATTACTTATGTGACATGGTGGTGGTAGTTGCCTGCTAATGAGTTGGCTCCGACTCACAGTGCCCCCTATAGGGTTTCGGAGGCTGTAAATCTGTACAGGAGTAGAAAGCCTCATCTTTCTTCTGTGGAGCGACTGGTAGATTTGAACTATTGACATTGCAGTGAGCAGCCAATCTAGTAACCTCTATGTTTCCTTATGTCAGCTAGTGTCACTTAATTTTTACATTTTATCTTGCGCTCTGATAGTGTAGTGGTTACAAATCGGGCTTGCGAACCGCAAGGTCAGCAGTTCGAAACTACCAGCTGCTCCGCGGGAGAAAGATGAGGCTTTCTGCTCCCGTAAAGATTTACAGCCTTGGAAAACCTGTTCAGGGTCGCTATGGGTCAGAATCGACTCGACAGCACTTAATAACAACAACATCTTGCACAGGGGGTAGCGTAGTGGTTACAAATAGGGCTGAGAACCGCAAGGTCAGCAGTTCGAAACTACCAGCTGCTCCGCGGGAGAAAGATGAGGCTTTCTGCTCCCGTAAAGATTTACAGCCTTGGAAAACCTGTTCAGGGTCGCTATGGGTCAGAATCGACTCGACAGCACTTAATAACAACAACATCTTGCACAGGGACTAATATTTAAAATTTTTATTTATGTAAGGAGGCTTCAAAAAGCTCATGGAAAAATATAATTAAAAGGCAATCTAAATTTTCTATAAAACTTTTGAAATCCCCTCCACTTCAGACATATTAACAGGAAGAACTAATCCCTGGAGAAGGACATCATGCTTAGTATAGTGGAGGGTCAGTAAAAAGAGGATGGCCCCAGGACATGGATGGACACAGCTGGGACAACATTGTGAGGATGGTGCAGGGCCAGGCAGTGTTCTGTTCTGATGTACATTGGGTCCCTGTGAGTGGGATGGACTTGACCAGACCTAACAATAACAATGTGATAAGGACAGCGCCAGGTGAACGTAAATTGTTCCTATATCGTCAACTAAAATGGGGATTAAAAAAAATTTTTTATTTCACTTGCGCCTCCAGGTTCCTGATGTTATCAGCAGCATAAGACAGCTATCTAAAGCTGCCATGAAAGAGGATGCCAAGCCCAGCAAAGACATGGAGGACGCCTTTTACAACTCTCAGAAGTTTGAAGTCTTGTACTGTGGAAAGGTGACAGTCACCCACAAGAAGGCCCCGTCCAGCCTCATTGACGACTGCATTGAAAAGTTCAGCCTGCATGAACAGCAGCGGCTCAAGGTCCAGGGCGAGCAGTGCAGCGCCGACCCCAGCGACGACTTGATAGTCTTTGAGGCGGAAGAGCTCCGCGCACCTGGAGCCAGCCTGCTGGAGGAAACAGATGGTGCCCCCAGTAGCCACGCTGGCTTACCCGCCGTGGCCAGCCAGCCTGTTCTGCCCAGCTCTCGCATTTGTTTTCCTGAGCGGATCTTGGAAGATTCTGACTTTGATGACCAGCAGGAGTTTCGGTCTCGGTGCAGCAGTGTCACCGGAGTCATGCAGAGGAAAGTGCAGGAGAACAGCCAGACAGCACAGCCGCGCAGGAGGCACGCCAGTGCGCCCAGCCACGTACAGCCCTCGGACTCCGAGAAAAACAGAACAATGCTCTTTCAGGTACTTTTCCTGGCAGGGTGCTAGTGGGTCATTCCATCGTGAATTTCTAGACAGAAGCAGTAGGCTGCCCAACTCCTCACACTTCGCATTTTGCTTTTCTCACATGACTGTCTCTTGTTGTTATGAGCCGTGGAGTCGGTTCCGACTCACAGTGACCCTGTACAGGGTTTACAAGGCTGTAAATCTTTATGGTTAACCAGTTGTTAGAATTGTTAAATGTTGTCCAGTTATCTCCAAGTCATGGTAACCCTGTAGGGGGTTTCCAAGGAGTGGCTGATGAGTTTGTGGTTAGTTCAAATCAGCCTTACCGTCCATTGCTTTATCTCATAGCGCCGCACCAGGACGCCAACCAGTAAAGGGTCTTTAATCCACAGTTTATGAGATTTGACGTCTCTGAAACAAATGAGTACCTGCCCTTTTAACTTGTTGTAAAGAACCCTTGGTATGGCGCTGTAGGATAAACACTCAACCACAAGGTTGGTTTAAACTTCAAGGCTGGCAGTTCAAACCCACCAGCTGCTCCTCAGAAACTCTATATATATAGGGTCGCTATGGTCAGAACCGACTGGACCATACTTAACAATAACAAAGAACCCCTGAGGAGGAATTTCCACAGTGTACCTTGGTAAACAGTTCCAGTGTGTAAGATTTGCTTTATTGGAATTTGTCAGGAGCTGAGTCTACTTCTTCTTCTTTTTCTTTTTGCTTAAACTTTTAGACAGTAAAGCATCTATATTCTTTTCTCTGGACATGTATTAATATGTAAATGAATAGTCCTTATTTGGGGTATCAGATTTTTATCTTTTTGCTTTCCTAGTCACAGTTGTTTGTTGTCAGTTTTTCTGAATGTTTATTCATTTAAAAACATTATAATTATCAGTCAAATTCTATATCTATGTAATTCTTTTGATTGGCCATTTGGGAAAAAGTATGACTATAAATTAGAAATAAATTAATTGGCATTTTTAGGTATCATGAGATGAAAAAGGTTTTATGTTTTCTTGAAAAAAAATCTCATAATCAGAAAAAAATGGTTTCTCATATTTTGCAAATTACGACTATCAATGTTCATGATTTAGAGGCATAAGGGAAGAAATATTTCGAAGCAACTAGGATTTAAACTTGAAATATTCATTGGATTGGATGTTGGAGCATTTGTGAATAGATACAGGTTGATCTAGAATGTATCTATATTATTAATTGAAGTGTAAAGTAACAAGTTAGGTTCTTGTTAATTTAAAATAATTGGAATTTTTTTATTTTTGAGGTTGGACGATTTGAGATTAACCTTATTAGTCCAGACACTAAATCGGTTGTACTGGAAAAGAATTTCAAAGCTATCTCCTCTTGTTCTCAGGTATGTATTGAAATATATCATAATATGTGAAGAAATTAACAACACATTGTGGTTTCTAATTTAACCACAAAAATAACTGGGCTAAAAGTCCTGCAAATTGTAGTGTGTGGTTTTATTTATTTGTTTATTTTTAAAAACAGTTTATCTTAAACGAAGAGAGTGCCTTCCAGGTTTCATACTATCTACCCTAACTGTCCTTGTTTTCATCAGTCCTTTTCGTTTGTAGTGTCATTTCATCAGCTCTCTGACACTGATGGAATTTTTGTGGTAGTGAGTTCTTTTCACAATTTCCCCACACTTATTGTTCCTTAGAATCTTGGACTTGTGGGTTAAACGTAGTCACGTTTGCTCATTATACCACAATAAGTAGTAAATGAGACCTTGTATTTTCAATTAATATTGATGTAAATATTAACATTTTAAAATAAGTTTTTTATTGCTTGTTCTTTGGTATATTTTTGCTCTTTTGCTTACTTTTTAAATGAATGACAATGTACTTGAATGTTTTCATATAGTGGATACAGATAAATGTTTATAAGATTATAACATGAGGCATAAACTAGTGTCCTAAGAATCATAGTTATTATTTAGAAAATTTATACAAGAATTTAGAGCTACATAAACACAATCTAAATATGGGAAGAATTTTTAGAGAAATCAGAATCGAGATAGTATCTAAATCTAGATGTGGGAAAGTTTTAAAAAATGTAAGAATGCCTTTAGGGAGGTCCCTAGAACTGAGAAAACTAGATTTTTTTTCTAGAAATGCCTTAGATAGAACTTCAAGGAAATGGATTTTGTTATGGTTAATGCCAAAGATCGTAATTGCCTAGTATTATTTTTTAATTAGGGAGTCCACATTGCAGTGCTTGCTTAATTCACACATTCTTTTATTTGAAAGTCAAAGGAGAGAGTTTGTACATGTTGTTAATTCTTTTCCTCAGCTTTATCTAATGTAGTTTCACTTATAATATTTAAAAATATTACCTTGAGACATAATATTGTGTTGTATGCATAAAATTTTCCTACAATAATCATTGTCAGAAGTGGCCGAAGCAGAATATAGGAGGGAACTATTGCAATATCTTAAAAGATAGGAAACCTATTTAAAGGACAAAGAAATTTGGTAGAGAGATTATTCAGTTTATTTATTTGTTTGCTCATTCATTCATTCATTCATATTATGATGAGTATATATGTAACAAAAAAAATCCATTTTACATGTCCAATTCACTGACGTGAATTATTTTCCTCATGTGTAACCACCATGATTGTTTTTGTTAGGTGCTGTCAGGTTAGTTCTGGCATATAGAGACCTTATGCACAACAGAACAAAACCCTGCATGGTCCTTTGCCATCCTCACAATCGTTGTTACACTTGAACCCAATGCTACTGCCTCAGTGTCAATCCATCTCATTCGTGGTCTTCCTCTTTTTCACTGACTCTCCACTTTACCAAACATGATTTCTTTTTCCAGGGATTGTTCCCTTCAGACATTATGTCCAAAATATTGGGAGACAAAGTCTTGACATCCTGGCCTCTAAGGAGCGTTCTCACTGTACTGCTTCTAACATAGGTTTAATTGTTCTCTAACAACTCATGATACTTTTACTATTCTTCTCCAACACCAGAACTCAAATGCATCAGTTCTTCCATGATCTTCCTTATTCATTGTCCAAATTTCACATGCATAGGAAGTTAATGAAAACACCATGGCATGGGTCAAGCACACCTAGTCGCTTAGTCCTCAAACGGATCTTTACTTTTGAACACTTTAACGAGGTCTCGTGTAACAGATTTTCTTGACTGCTGCTTCTGCCAGTATTGATAGTGGATCCAAGCAAAATCAAGTCTTTGACAACTTCAATCTTTTCTCTATTGATAAAATGTTATTTATTGGTCCAGTGGTGAGGATTTTTGTTTTCTTTATATTGAGGTACAGCCCATACTGAAGGCCATGGTCTTTAATCTTCATCAGTAAGTATTTTAAGTCCTCCCTACTTTCATCAAACAAGGTTGCATCATCTGCATGTCACCTGTTATTAATGAGCTTTCCTCCAATCCTGACACCATGTTCCTCTTCATAGACCCCAGCTTCTTGAATTATTTGCACAGCATATAGATTAAATAAGTATTTTGAAAGAATACAATCTTGATGCACACCTTTCCTGATTTTACACCATTCATTTCCCCCTTGTTCTGTTAGAATGACTGTCTCTTATTCTATGTACAGGTTAGTCATGAGTACAGTTAATTGTTCTGGAATACTCATTCTCCTCAATATGGTCCATAGCTTATCATGATCCATACAGTTGAAAGCCTTTGCATAGTCTGTAAAGTACAGGTAAGCATCTTTTTGGTATTCTCTGATTTTAGTTATGATCTATCTGACATTAGCAATGATATCCCTTCTTTCAACTTTTCTGAATCTGGCTTTGAACCTCTGTTAGTTCCCTGTCAGTATATAACTGTGTTTGAGTTATTGTTAGCAAAATTTTATTTGCATGTGATAATGATATTGTCTGATGATTTTTGTGTTCTGATGGGTTACCTAGCTTTGGAGTGGGCACAAATATGGATCTCTCCCAATCAGTTGGCCAGCTAGCTGTCTTCCAAATTCTTGGCATAGATGAATGAGTGCCTCCAGTGCTGCATTAGACTGTTGAAAGATTTCAGTTTGTATTCCATCAATTCCTGGAACCCCGTTCTTTGCCCCAATGCCTTTAGCGCATGTTGGATTCTTCCTTCAGAAGAAATCATTTGAAAAGGTAGCATATGGCTCTTGATCCTATGCTACCTCTGCAAATGGTTGAACAGCCTTTTGTTACAGTGACTCGATGTATTCTTTCCATCTTTTGATGCTTTCTGTAACATTCAATATTTTGCCCATAGAATTCTTTAATATTGAAAGTCAAGGCTTGAATTTTTTCTTCAGTTCTCACAACTTTGAAATTCTGAGTGGGTTCTTCTCTTTTAGTTTTCTAATTTCAGGTCTTTTCACATTTCATTATAATACTCGAATGACTTTGTCTTCTTGAACTGCCCTTTTAAACTTTCTGTTCAGCTCTTTTACTTCCCCATTTCTTCTATTTGCTTTAGCATCTCTAAGCTGAAGAGCAAATTTCAGAGTCTCTTCTGAAATCTGTTTTGGACTTTCCCTTCTTTCTTGTCTTCTTAATGACCTTTTGCTTTCTTCCTGTATGATATTCTTGATGTCATCCCACAACTCTTCTGATCTTTTGTTATTAGTAGCTAATATGTATCAAACGTATTCTTGAGATAATGTCTGAATTCAGCTGGGATATATTCAAGGCCATATTTTGGGTTTTGTGGACTTGTTTTAATTTTCTTAAGCTTCAGTGTGAACTTGCATGTGAGTGATTGATGATCTGTTTCACAGAGTGCTCTGGCTTTGCTTTGGCTAATGACATAGATTGTTTCTGACTCTTTCCACAGATTAGTCAGTTTGATTTCTGTATATTCCATCTGGTAAGGTCACTGTGTATAGTTGTCTTTCATGTTGTTTAAAGAAGGTACTTTCGATGAATAAATCTTTGGTCTTGCAAAATTCTATCCTGCGATCACCAGCATCATTTCTAATCACCAAGGCCATATTTTCCAACTATGGATCCTTCTTGCTTATTTGCAGCCTTTGAATTCCAATCGCCAGTTATGAGCAATCCTGGTTGCATGTTTGATCAGTTTCAGACTGAAGAAGTTGGTAGAATTCTTCAGTTTCATCATCACTGGCTTTAAAAGCGGTTGGTGCATAAATTTGAACAATCATGCTATTAACTTATAAGCATATGGATACTTATAAGCATATGGATATTATCCTATCACAGAGAGCATTGTACTTCAAGACAGATCTTGGAATGTTCTTTTTGATGATGGATGTGATGTCATTACTGTTCAATTTTTCATTCTCTATAGTAAACCATATGATTGTCATATTCCGAATGGCCAATACCAGTCCATTTCAGTTCATTAATGCTTAGGATATTGATGTTTATGTATTTCAATTAATCTTTGATAACTTCCAATTTTCCTAGATTCATTTTTCATACCTTCCATGTTCTGATTATTAATGGATATTTACAGTGGTTTCTCTTCATTTTGAGTAAATTAAGGTCCCAAAAGCTTTACTCCATTTGTGTAATCATGGTTAATTCCTCTTTGAGGAGGCAGCCCTTCTCCAATCGTATTTTGAGTGCCTGCCAACCTGAGGGGCTCATCTTCTGGCACTATATCTGACAATATGTTGGTGCTCTTTATCATGTTTCAGTATTCGATATGCTAATACTGACAGTGTTCCACTGATATTCATAATGTTTCCAGTGGCTAAACATTCTGAAGTCGTCCACGTCTCCTTCTTCCTTGTCTTAGTCTGGAAGATCAACCGAAGTCTATCCACTATGGGTGACTTTTCTGGTATTTAAAATACCAGTGTCATAACTTGCAGCATCAGAGCTACACACAAGCCACCTCAGTATGACAAGCTGACAGACAGACAAGTGGTGGACCATCATCATTATTCTTAACCATCATTGTTAATACAATTTTCCCACCACCCTTAACCAAAGCTCAGTGTCCCGCATTGCAATGACTCACGGTCATCACTAATGGACATCTGTTGTCATACATTTGCTTATTGTAGAAACGCCTCTTTTTATTTTAATTTTGCTTCTTCTTCGTTTTTTTAATTGCCTTCCTCGTCACCCAAGATTATTCACTTTAATGGTAGAAATATTGAGTAAGCATTCTTGTATTTACTTGTTTAATGTTGATCCCCACAAGATTGTTAGCTTTGTGAGGACAGAGACAGTATGGTGGTATTCTGTGAGATATCAAAATAAGGTGGGTTAAGATAGAGCTTAAAGTATAAGTAGGTATTCAATATATGCTAAATGAATGAACAATTTCTGTGTGTTGGTCTCTGCTCAGGTGGTCAGAGTGATGTACAAACTACATGTAATTCCTGACCTCTCCCCAGGACCAC